ATATAATTTTAATATTATATAATTATATATAATTTTATATGTAAGTTTACACATAATTATATGTAAATATATATAATTATATACACAATTATATAAAATTATATATATTTTTATATATCTAAACGGCGCGCGGCAAACAGCAAGGAGTGGGGGAACGTGTCGCGCGGCGCAGTAGTTGACTACGTCATCACTTCGGCATTCGCTCAGCGATTTCAGAGCGAGATACATGTAGTACGAAATGCTCCGCATTATTAACGAAAATTAAATATCTGCGCGAATTTATCAATGCTCATAATTTGCGACTCGTGAATACGTTGTGGTGACTTCGTACATATTATAGTTATACTATCATACACTCTAAATAGACGTCGAAATATATGACAGTTTAGAAATTACGAATTGTTTAGACCGATACTCTTTAATGATCATGAATGATAGCACGTCGATGACTTTGCATATCATTCTCTATTTTCAGATCAAAAGCGTACGAAGCATAAATTTAGATTTATTAAATCACGGAATTATGATTCAAAAGTAACAAAAAGCTAAAATGTGTCAATCTTTTGTTAAAAATATTGCGTATACTGTGCAGATTTCGTGTAACAAAAAGTTATTACAAATTAACTGCTTGTTGCAACACAATTTTAAATTCTAAAATATAGATGAGTTGTGTGCGTATGAATCCAAGAAATAAAGTAAAGATCGCGCAATAAAGCCTATATTTATCGAAGACTCTTAAAAATGTAACGACTAGATTATTTTACTGATTTTATTATATGTGTTAATATTTCAGTTAGATGATCGGCGCGCAACCTTGGGAATTGTTTTGATGCGGAAGGGCGGGCGAGCGGCGCGTCATGTTTATACAAAATTACCACGCAGTCATTCCATCGAAGCTCGTACAAGCAGATAGCCGTGTCGTGTGTCGCTCTTTTTCACATTTCTTTTTGAAACGTAATCGTGACAAACGCTAAATAATATGAAATATTATATTTTACTGAATACTAAAAGTATACGATACGACTAGCTCGCACGATTACGCATAAAAGAATTGAGACGACAATCATATATCACAGATATTTTGTACGGTTTATTCATTTGGAATCAAAACGCGATGGAAAAATAGAATTTATTATTATTTCGCAATAATTACACATTATTTTTATTAAACAACAATTATTTTTATTTAAAGTAACATTTTTGTCTTGCTTTGAGTGTAACCCGATTATTCTTCAAACGGTATTACGCGAGTTGTAAAAAAGCTTCGTTAACATGAATACTCTTGCAAATAACGCAATT